TAGGGACTGTATTCTTTTCTTTAACGGCCTCATTTCTTTTTCTGAAAATAGCGGACTGATGGGCTTTACGAAAAAGCTTTAATTTTGTTTCGTCTGTCCACAGCACATTCTCCCAAAAGGATTTTGGCTTTCTCAGGTAAGTTTTGGCAAACTCCAATTTGGCTTTTTTATGTTTCTGTGTCAGCCATGGGATTCTTTTGGGCAGGGGCGGACTGACAACTCATGGGGCCCCTGGGCAATAGAGGATCATGGGGCCCCTGTGTCCTTGCCCAAACTCAAAAAAGCCTATGAAAAAGGTACCAGGGGCATCTCATGGGGCCCCCTACTGACCCCGGACCCTCAGGCAGTGCCCGAGTTTCCAAATGGTCAGTCCGCCCCTGCTCTTGGGTCCCCTAGTGCCACTTTTCATTCAGATGGCGACAGATAGTGCAAACTGACTCAATTGTCCCCTGTGCCTAAAGGTCAGCTTGAATTTGTCTGGAAATTCATCAAGGTTCTTTAGCCACCATTCAAACAATCCTTCATTGCAATCTTTGACTGATTTTTCTCTTTTGTCCACGTCCAGGGAGATTAGCTACAGTGCCATAGGCTGTAAACTTCTTGACAATGTTGCGCACAGTGGACACAGGAACATTAGGATCTCTGGAGATGGACTTGCAACCTAGAGATTGTCCATGCTTTTCTACAATTTTTGTTCTCAAATCCCCAGACAATTCTTTGCTGCTCTTTCTCTTCTCCATGCTCCATGTGGCACACAGAGACACACAACAGAAAGGTTGAGTCAACTTTTCACCATTTTAACTGGTTGCCGGTGTGATTTCTATATTGTCAGCACCTATTGATTGATAAATGTGTGTTTAATTACAAATTACAGGAACATCACAAACTTGGAATGCATTTATTTCTTACAATTTTGAGAAGGTTCCAATAATTTTCTTCAGTCCACTTTGGGGTTTTGCATGGAATGTGTCAGATTTGGCTTTTTGCTTCACTAGTTTGTGTCATACCAATACATGCAAACGAAATAAACACGAGAATGCCTAAACATTTGTAATTGCAACAATTTTCTGGGCAAAATGGTGCATTATCTGACAGAAATGCAGGGGTGCCAATATTATTGCCCATGACTTTATGTCATCGCGGCCCAGACGTTCAGGCAGCTGAACAACAATCTTGCCTTTTTATGGTTGATAAAGAAGCAGGATTGCTTCAAAATGCATCCCTAGGCAAGGGTCTTCAAAATATACACCAGATCAAGCCATATAGACCATAGGAACTCAAAACATCACACTCTATGGGAATCCACAGTGGTCCACAAGAAAAAGAGCAATTGGACCACTGTGGATTCCCATAGAGTGTGATGCTTTGAGTTACTACGGTCTATTTGGCTTGATCGTGTGTATATTTTGAAGACCCTTGCCTATTTGTCCCTTTGTTCACCTATATAGGTGAAGTATTTTTGGAATGATATATATGACCTTTAAAAACAGTTGTCATTTTATATTTTATATGTGTGAAAATTTGATGGAAAAAAAGATTTCATATATTTTTAAATTTTATGTATCGGTGCCTTAAAAGTCCCATTCAAATTAGTATTTTTTCTCAAATCAATAGACGGAAGGAAAGGTCTGTACACATGCTGTCTATGTGATTCTTTACATCATGGCTGTGACAAATGGAATGTGGCTTGTCAAGTTAGAAAAGCATCAAAAATAGGACCAAGCCACAACTGCAAGTCAAATGCTTGCCTCATGGTTGCAGTGTGTTTGCACCATTGAAAATTGCCATTTGGCATAAAAAAAAAAAGCTAACAAGCATTTGGAAGGTGGTAGGACCACTTTCTAGATGCCCGGAAGCTGCTTCTTAGCTGCCCTCTAAAAACCAAACCACAGTTGATTGCTTTACAGATTGTGCTCCATTATGAACTTGCTGACCTACTGGCCAAAATCCTATCTGAGTCACTGACCTGCAACTATTATGCAGATCTGGAAAGTTGGAGTAATGTCAGAAATTGTAATGTGCATAGTCACAGGTTAATTAAAGGTTTTCATGATATATTTTTAATATCTAATTATGAAACCATGTTATTTTTATAAAACCATTATAGTTTCCCCTTAGAGTAACCCTTCGTGGCATACATTTTTTCCAAAATGGAAATACCTGCATAATAAGAGTAGGAATACTTTTAATAACAGGAAAGGAAGTGAGGAGAAATGTCTTCCAAACCATAGCCACTCTATCCAAGTCTAAAATAAATGTTTTGGCTGGACATACATTTTAAAATAATTACTAAAATGGTACTGGATAAAGAATAGCTTGTGTAACCCCAACAACTTGTGACACGTAAGACTTATATGTTTCCTAACAGCACACAGATCGTATGCTCTTGTGCGCAAGACAGTCAGAGAAACTGACCCTCTAATTTGTAGGCACATGAATCTGAAAACCTCATCCTCACGTTTTATAAAACCTTTAATTGAATGAGAAGTACAATTGAAGGATTACACTGTATATTCTATCAGGTTATGTCCACTTCAGATTTCTTGTCAAGGAAAATTTGCAGGAAAGCTAGTCCCCTGGTTCAAGCAAGGTGTCTAAAGTCACGCAATACACTTACCTCCAGGTCAAATATTGTTGCCCAGTCTAAGACATCTTCCATAGAAATCTCAGTATTGCCTAATCATAGCTTGTGTTCTATCCAAATTATGGTCTCACACCCTCCTAAAGGATATTCCAGAATGTTGAATTGAAATGAAAATTAGGTATCCAGCTAAGAGAGGGTAATACCATTGTTATTGTCTGCGTTGGAGACCCAATCTGATATGAGAAAATGTTACCATCAGCACATCACAAAAAAAAGAGCTTGTCTTGGTTGCAATGGCCCTTAATTGTTCTCAGGGCTGTCTGAGAGATAGAAAAACCATATTTACAGTATATGCTTACCTGTACAGTACATGCTTTATGCAAATGTATTACTAGATGAATATATGTCAGACAATGATAATATCGCATTTATTCTGTATGTTTCCAGAAAATCACGCCAGGAAAGTCAAGTGTTAAGTAGCAATGGAGTCAACCCCCTCGTTAAGAGCCGTCACACTCAGAGCAGAAGGAGAAGACGCATGACCTGCCCAAGCCCAGCTGAGATTAACAAGGCTTTGATGACTGTCACTTTGGAACAACTGGGGAAGGGTTGCAGCCTTGATGAACTTATGGAGAAGTGCATACAGTCATTTGGTAAGTGGATGACCATGGACCTAATGGACTGTATAGGTAAAGCAGGAAGCCCATCACAACAGATGTGAGGCCATTGCCTCCAGGGCCACTCTTGTTTTTCAAAGGTGACTTTGATGTAAGGAAGGCCTCTAAAATATATCCTGTGTCCCTGTGCGGAATTTTGAGTCCTGTTTGAGCTCAAGCAAAATGAATCTGGATTTCATCAAATGTGGTCATATTTTCAAAGAGACTTAGGTGGGCTGTGGTCAGGATGTAAACATCCTATTTTTGAATAAGAGATATTGAGAGAATTCTTCAAAGCTGCTTCATATAGTATATAATTAATCTAGAATTGTTCCAGCCATAGTTATTTTTCCTAGCTTCCCCTTGAGGATCAGTCCCTGGTGACTGTGGGATGCTGCTTTCTTTAGTAAATGCACTTTTCTAGGCTTCAAGGTGAATTAGAAAAAGTTTCTCAAGGGTTGAAGTATGAGTTGGTAGCTCAATTTCTCCAACATATATGAAAGGCTGCCTAAGACCAAACAAGTCTCACCATCATGCAGTTGTTAGTCCAGATAAGACAAAGTCTTACATCTATGTAAGGAAACCCTTATTCAGTATTGCTTTCTCTAAGGTTCTAGGGCTGGCTACATGTACTACCCCCTGTAACCCTAAGATGATTGAGTTATTTTGTGTTCAAACATTTTTTTCAGAGAGTAAAATGAGCATTACAAAGAAATCAAGTTATAAGTTCTGTGAAGTTATGATGTTTATATCAGCACACTTTAGAAAAAAAATTAGAACAGAACTGTAAGCAGTTATAGAGTTGGTAGGCAGGTTCATATTATGTAACTTGGATTTGAAGATGGTGTCTTGTTATGGTTTTTCAGCTGCCAGGTGCAAAATGTAAGGCCTGTGTAAGCTATGAGTATCTGGAGTTAAACTTTACAAAGGGCTTAGGATTGATTGGCCCAGAATGAAAAGTTGTTCCTCCAAATTACTGGGTTTTCCCTTTGACACTTGTGGAAGAAGAGAAGTAGATAAAGTAGCCATTCTCACCTAAGGTTTCTCCAGAAGGTATTAGGGGTTCTTTGAACCATATTCATTTTCTGCCTCTCAGACAAGTAACCACTGTCACGAATGATGATTTTGTATGCTATAAGAAGGTCATTCTTATCACTGATCACCAAAGCAAAGAGCATTCTTCTCACTGACCACCATGCCAATGTACCATAAGCTGTACATACAGTATTTGTTGCCAGGGGTTTCCCGAAACCTTAAATTTTATTTCAAGGGTTCCTCCATGTTAAGAAAGCCCAAAGTAAGGTATACTGCTGTGGATGGGTAAGGTGGTCACAATACCCAAGATCTACTACTGGTGATGCTATCAAGTGCTGAAAACAAGTGCTTGTGGCTGGGATAGGCAGTCCCTCAATACGTTTAACGTTGATACGATATAAGCCAGCAACTCAGTGGGCTCAAACACTGAAAATCTTTATTGGCTACACAAGTACATCCAGTAACAAAATGCATTGTTTTACTGGATTTACTTGTATAGCCAATAAACATTTTCAATGTTTGAATCCTCCGAGCCACTGGCTTGTAGCTATCAACGTTAAACCAATTCTCTTTTCTCTGAATTTTTTATTTGATATAAATTTTGATTTAAAAATGTGTTACAAATAAGACAATCCACAGTAGTTGAATATCATTTCTCTGACACCCATAGAGTTCAGGTGATGATCAGAGCTCAGGAATGATTTAAACACCTTCAGACAAAACACCTGGCTGGTGTGCATTCATGTTTATGTCTATAAAGGAGGGATGAAGAGTAGCGGGCATGTGTTGCTCATCTTTTTAGGAACAACTGAAATCTTTTTAACGGGTCTTCTTACCTAATGTTTGATTGAAAAATTGCCAGTTAGTGGCCTCTGTGGGCCATTCACAAGAGCTGCCTTGGCCTGCAAATGTAAATGTCAAGCTGCAATTTAAATGTCAAGCTTTTTCCAAGGTATTGTCCTAAGACTCTCAACTCTCAGAACTTTATCAAAATAGGAAGTGTTACCCAGGAGAAATCAATCAGATTGAAATGATGACAATATGGTACCTAAAAAAGCAGTTTGATATATAAGACCAATTGGGGTTGTCAGGCAGTTTAATGAATGTTAGATATTCAATGCATTTACCTGATATTACTTGTTTTGTTTTGCCTCTGGTGACTGAGAAGATGCGGATGGAAAGCTCTGGAGAAATGAGGACACCGTTAACATGATCCTCATCATGCACAGCTGGGTGGTGCCATCAGCAGAGTTTGCACAAAAAGTTCTTCAACTATATCCTTATCAGCACTGACATAAATCCCCCATCGGGGACTTTGATATATACGGTAGATATTCCACTTACTTCTTTATAATGGTATTGAGTTCCTTGACTACCACTTACCTACAGAGAAGAAGATCAAAACCAAAGGAAGAACCAGATATGCCATTTCCTAAGGTAAGCATACACCTCTCCTTGTATTGGTTTCCTGGCTCAATGTTTGTCCTGTGCATCATAATAAAAAAAAAAATAGAGTACTTTAATTACATTACTTGAGTACCAGCTTGTATATACCCCTTCATTACCAGGCAGTTTTTCAGTTTTCAGTGCTGTGAAAGTTTGACTTAATCATACAATACTCTACCCAAATGTATTTTATATAATTTGTTTAAACAAATAGCACTTACTGTAATTTTGGTGGTACTTATCAACAACTGTTTTTTTTAAATCATTTAATATACAGTATAGAGGAAAAAATTCAGTTCAGCAGATATACTGACAGGTTTTCAGGAGACTTGCATGGCACCAGCGATCTGCTGATCACTGGTGCAATGCTGTACAGGCTCCCGTAACCAAAAATAATAAATGCACATTTTTTACCTGCAAAAAATGTGCATTTATTATTTTTGGTCAAAAGGTGAACTGTTGGATAATGAGTGAGGAATCCCATGTCCAAATTATCCAACAGTTTTATGACTATTAGCTGAAGCTTGACTCCCTCTGTGTGAGTGTAGTATCCCCCCCCCCCCTCCCCCCTCGCTTTGGCTGTATGTTATCTCTAGCCTCTCTTTTTTTTTTCTTCATCTCTTCTAACATTCTGCTGAAACTTTGTGATTTGTACAGTACTGCTTGGACTTTGAAGAAGGGGACATACCCCGAAAGCTTGTCCTCAAAATTGTATGTTAGTGCAAATAAAAAAAGTATCACGGACAGTACTCAATTGTTTCATTTGCTGACATGGAAATTCCTGTCCTATCTGATTAATATTTGAGCCAATAACTGTTTATAAATGAAGATTGTGTCCATGTCTAAACCCCTCTAGAAAGGCCCTTGTGTGTAATAATGAAAAGCTCACCTGTTTCACACCTGCAGGTTTTGGGTAAATGACTATCCAGAGATGTTTCGGCTTGACCATGAACTAGAAGAGCTGATGTGTGACTTTTGGGAGGTAGTTAAGGACAGCAAAAGGCCAAATGACCACCGACAAAGTCTTGATACATCATTCATGTAAGGACTTTATGTAATCCAGTCTAATCTCTATTTCCCCAGCGGTTGAGGAAACTTTACTTCTCTTTTCTTTTTATTTAGTGTTTCTTGATTTGCTTGCTTTTATATTGTTCACTTTTCCTTTTTATCATTTTCAATGCCAGATTTGACCCAGAAACCCCAAAGACCTTTCCAGAGTCACCAAGCTTCAACAAGAAGAGGAAAGTCTCCCTTCTGTTTGATCACCTGGAACCACTGGAACTGGCAACGCATCTCAGCTACCTGGAGTTCAAATGCTTCTGCAGGATTACGGTAAAAATCTCACACTCTACAACAAAACAAAACAAAACAAAGAGTTCTAAAATATTTATAATACAGAATTTTAAGTTTATTATCTGAAACATCAAAATAAAGCACAGTAACACATTTACCGGATGATTGATGGAAAGTTCAGGCTAATAACCACATAACTATTTTAAACTGGTAGAGATTGAAGAATTGGTTTTAATGTTCATTGGTAAAATTGTTATTACTAAAATGATTGTCTAGGCAAAAAGGCATAAAAATCAAATTCATTAACTCACCTTCAAAGTTTTTGATTATTGCTGATCACAGTGAAGCAATTTTGTTTGTTCACTATAGTTATGGGAGGCATTGTGCAGCTAATGGGGGTTTATTTACTAAAACTGGATAGTGCAAAATCTGGTGCAGCTCTACATAGAAACCAATCAGCTTCCAGGTTTTATTGCCAAATCTTATTTGAACAAACTTATTGGCTACCATGCACATTTGCACCAGATTCTAAGTACACCAGTTTTAGTTAATCTCCCTCTTTGTCTTTGAACAAATTGGAAGCTTGCAGTAGTGGTTGGGTGGATAAAGAGACTTGTGATTCTTGAACACTGAACACTTTATTGCAACATCCCCAACTCAACTACTACTCCTTATTTTAGCCCCATTTCAGATCTCAGTTCTATAAATCTGTTTTCCAGGAAGTAGCTCTGAAAGTGTCCATGTCTGCAGTTCACTAAGAGATGTCATATCTTCATCAGCAGCTCTGATCCATTTTTGTTTCTCATGGTTTGGAAGTCTTTGTATCTCATCCCATGAATCTGGCTCGAAAGGTAGGGCCCTCTTACCCCTTTGTGCTGTTTGATGTTACTGTACGCGAGCAACATGAGAGCGCTATATAAAACTCGATACATTTGGCTGGGATGCATTTTTGTTCTTTGTTCCTTCTGGTGGATTTCCTGACTGAAGCCTCTTGTGGCCTGTTTTCTTCATTTACAGTATTTGGATTTCAATCTGTGTGTCATTTTGGTGCTTATCTTAATGTGACACTGATGTGGAACTTCCCTCAGTTTGAAGTGTTTGTGTTAGTTCATGAAATGTTGAACACACTGAAGTTTCATCGACAATTACACTTCTACCGATGGTTACCTTGTTTGTGTCTTGGTATAGAATTCTGTATCCTTTTTGATTTTCACTGTACCCCACAAGTATACCTTCCTTTGCGTGAGCATCCCATTTTGTAAATTTTTCTTTTGTGATGTGCACATAGGCTTTGCTTCCAAAAAAGTTTAGATGGTTCAAATTCTGGACCTTTTAATTTCACAGATCATAGGAATTTTTCTGGTAGTTGATTTTGGAGATAGCATGTGGTCAAAATTGCCTCCCCCCAGAATGTGGTTGGCATATCTGCATCAAACAGCATGGTTCTTCCACTTTCACATAGACTACGGTTCATTCTTTATGCAACCATGTTTTGTTCTGGGATGTATGATACAGTAATTTGAAATATTGTGCCATGCTTTTTGAGAATTGCCTGTGTGTTATCACCTGTACATTCAGTTCCATTATCTGTGTGCAATACACTAGGCATTTTGCCATATTTGTTGGTTACTTGAGCCAAATACTGTTCAAGTTTCTTTGGTACTTCACTATTGTTGTGTAACAGATATAGTGTAGTATACCTGGAGTAATCATCTATAACAGTGAGAAAATACCTCTTCTTTCCTGAAGTCAATTTTTCCATTGGACCGCAAAGATCTGAATGAATTAAGTCCAGAGGGTTTTTTTTTAGCTCTGCTGTTACTCTGCTTTGGAATGGCTATTTTTGTCATATTTCTTTTATACAGCTGGTGCATTTTGTTGTTTGATCACATGGACTAATTTTTATTCCACTTGTATAGATATTCTCAGTTAATATTTATATTATGTTAGGACTTGTGTGCCCAAGTCATCTATGTCATTTGTGAATGCAATTTGAATGTTTTTCCACCTTGGCAGTATTAACCACCTCATTGCAGTTCTGCTGATACAGTTCATCAGTAATTTTAGCCTTTGCAAGTAAGATATCTATCTATATCTATATGTTTTTATTGCCATATTTCATTTTAAAGCAGACTCTGCGATAAAAGCACTGTCACTATTAACCCCCCTGTCGGTATTCCTGAGTGTAGCTGGGGGTTAACTTTCAGTAACAGAAGCAGTAACCCTGAGCTACACTCGGGATTACACTGCACTGTTGCTCTGGGATCCCTCGAGCACTTACCTTGTTCTGTGGTCTCGCGATGTCCCCCCTGCAGTGTCCCCGGCCATGTCCTCCGATTGATGCCAGCATACATCTTCCGGGTTCCGTTCCCTATGAGCATCGGGACGTTCGCGACGTATGGGGATGGAACCGGTGGGAATTTAAAAAATGTAAAAATTTGACATTCACTCACTACACTAAAATCTGATAGTATTACATTACTGTGTCAAACCATTTCATATACATTTTGTCTTGAGTGCTTTGTCCTGTGCCCTGCCTGCATTTTTACCGTTCTTTCTGCCTGGAAACTGAGAAACGTCCATGGCGTCCAAAAAGCATCCCTTTATGTCAAAAGCGGTTTTAGACCAGCTAGAGAACAGCGATAGTAAATCAGAACCACTTGCAGAATTGAGTGATAATGATTTGTTGGGAAATTCATCATCAGACACTGAAATCGATTTTGTGATTGAGCTCAGTGATGTGCGAACTTGGCGCTCTATTTCAAATTTCAGTGTTTTTGGTTTGATTACATTATTGAATTAAATTTATTATTATTATATTATTATTTTTTATGATTATGTATTATATTATAATTTATGATTTCGTGTTTCAAATTTTATCATACTCGGGATGTTTACTAGACTCTTGTTCGGACAGATTTCAGTGAGTTATTCCTAAGAAATACAGGCCTACAATAAAAAAACAACATATTTCCATTGTAAACAATGTACCGCTTTGAGCACAGAAATACTGACATAATCAGACCGCCAGGGAGGTTAATGCTTTCTGTTTTACGCTTACATTCATCCATAGGCTTGCCTTTAACACATTCCAGTGTCAGTTTATCTGCATCAAGTGCCTTGGCAAGTGTTTCATAACTTTCTGTTAAACCACTAAGTAATAATGCTGTGAAATGAAAATGATCATCTTCTTTGCTAAGAGAAATTGTGCTTGGTGCTTTCTAATCTTTCTCTATCCACTCATATGAAGAGTGTTCTGGCCAGACTTCATTTATATATTTCCACATACTTTCTTTTATTAGCAGCATTTTCATTTTGAAATTCCAAGATTGGTAGTTCTGGTTTGTCAAGTTTGCAAATGAAAGCTTTGTTGCAGCTGTGTTACTGGCCATTTTCTTTTATTCTGTTGCATTCTTCTTTCTGTTGCTGTATCTTGCACTTATTTGCTGTAGCAGGCTATGACTGGGGAAACTGGACCAGTGACCTGTTAAAAATTATGTACATAGCCCTGCAGAACAAATAGTGCACAGTCCACATGTACATTTATGCTTGCTTCACTGCAAACAGGAAACAGGAAACGTTTTTCAGTGAAAAGACATAGAGTTTATCATAGATGCAGCTACCAACTTATAAACATTGCCATCTACTGGTTGAAGAATATTCCTCTACTGAATACTGATGTAGTTGCTGCATCAAATACATTAAAACTGTATTCCAGAAATCTGATTATTATTTCTCTTCATCAGCATTTAGACTATCGAAGCTATACTTTGCAGAGTTCTCTGCGAGAAATCCCTCGGCTGGAGCGGTCAGTCTCCTTATGTAACAGCATTTCACAGTGGGTTCAGCTCATGATCCTCAACCGCCCAACTCCACAGCAGAGAGCTGAGGTCTTCACCAAATTTATCCACGTGACTCAGGTGAGATCTGAACATTACTGCATCCAAATCACAAAGGATAAGCTGCTCTGGGTTATTTTTGCATCATATCCGCAGCAAAAATTGGTTTTATTAAGTAGTAATTTTTTTGTTTTGGCGTCACATTGCATTTTTTGGAAATCAGAATGTCTGTACCATGTGAATAACTGCGGCCAATCACAGCTAACCATAATAGTACACACTGATTGAATAGACTTCATTCAGAAAAAATGATCGTTTATAACAGTTAGTATCACTGTTATAAGTGCTCATAGTGTGTAAAAACAAAATCCTAATCACCTCCCCAGTGTAGTACAGTGCTACAGTACTGTATTGCTCTGGTCACAGTATATATTTATAAAATCGTAAAAAATAATAAAAATAATAATAATAATAATAATAAAAATTAATAATAATAATAAACAGTTAAAAAAATAATTACAAAATGTTAAAAAAATATTTAATTTTTTTTTTTTTTTTACGTATTGTCACCAGTAAGTGTTCCTGATCACTGCCACACCAGTTTTATGATGGAACTGTACTGCAATGGTGACAGAATGTGAAAAAAAAATTTTTTTTTTAATTTCTTCATTTTCCCAAGAGATTGTGACAAAAATTACAACTTAAAAAAAACTTGCCATGCCTCTTTCTAAATACCTCAGACTGACTACTTTCCAGAAAGAGGGTCATTTGGGGGAAATTTGTAATGTTCTGGCGTTTTCGGGCTTCAAGAAATAAGATTCGGAGGCCGGCAGTACATCAGAACTGATCGATTTTCAGATACATATACCATAGTTTGTGGACTCTAACTTTCCTACAGGCTAAATAATATGCACTGATTTGGGTCATTTTTTGCCAAAGAATGTGGCAGAACTACATTTTGACCTGAATATGTGAAGAAAGATTATTTATTTGCAAATTGTATATCAGAAACAAAGAAAAAATTTGTGTTTTTTTCATTTATTTAGCAAAAAAAATATAAAACCCAGTGGTGATTAAATAGAAGCAACATAAATCTCTATTTGTGTAAACAATTGCTAAAAATTAAATTTGGTACAGTGTTGCATGACCGCGAAATGGTCATTAAAAAAGTATGACAGCAGTGAAAGCTGAAAATTAGCCTGGGCTGAAAGTGCCCGGTATTGAAGTAGTTAAAAGAGGGGATCCTGGCTGAGACATGCATTCCGGGCAGAGGCACATCGTATAACTGTCATCTCATATCTGCGAGAACCTCAGTAGCTTAGTTTTGTCTCTGGGTAACCAATAATGAAACATACGACCCCAACACAAAATGGAAGCTGCAGTGAAATTCTTTTATTTATTGATTTGTTTGTTTCACAGAAACTCCGTAAACTCCAGAACTTTAACACCCTGATGGCAGTGATTGGAGGACTATGCCACAGTGCCATCTCCAGGTTAAAGGAGACACATAGTCACCTGTCACAGGATGTACTAAAGGTGAGTGGGAAACAATCTCTTCTTGTATAGAATTTGTAATTGAAGGCCAAATACACCCAAAATAATACAGTAATGATCCATCTACTTCCTAGATCTCTCAGTTACTCAATTGGTAGGATTTTCTTGCAGGAGGTTGTTTTTGCTCCACCCACAAGGAGCTAAGATGATGGAGTCATTCTCTTGTAGTTGATTTTTTCTTTTAAATGTTGAATGCAAACAAGTAACATTCACATACAAAATGGGACCATTCAAGAGAGCCACTATGTTCAACAATAAACTGTAAATACATTACAATATCAATAGCTATGGTGGGTAAAGTAAAGTACACCTAGAAACAGTCATATCATAATGAATAAGTAATAGTACAGTCTCGCCTGGTTTTAACCATCATCAGTCTGTTATAAGCAGTGAATAAGACCATGGACACCAAATTTTGTCAAATTTTCTGAGGAGTAGAGCCCCCAAGATCCATTAAGCATATGCAAATTTGGTATAGGGGAAGGGACAAGAGTTTGTAACAGATTTTTCCACTATGAAGCGAAGGGGGAGATGATCTCTTCCAGTTACAAAGAATAACGTAAATACTAGGCAGTCATCAGCTACTTGGAGTGAAAAAAAAATTTGGAGTTTCTCTATCAGCCCCAAAAGGCATGCCTTGGGGCATCGAAGGTTAGGCAGGCCCAATGCAGTGTCAATGAAACAGTTGGTCTGTGACTGAAATGATTGTATATCGGGCAGGAGCATAGTGTTTGAGAATTTTCTTTTCTTTTATTATTCTTCATTATGGAACATCCATCAAGGAAATGTGATACATTTTACTGGCTGCACTAGTTGGGGTCAAATTGGGAATTCTGGTAGTGGGTCGTTGAAGCTGGGTGTGGACTGTTCTGAGCAGGCTTTCGAGTAGTGATAATTTGGCTTTTTGCAGATAAAAGCTGACTAAGTTGTCCCATTTTTTCACTGTGATAGTGTTTAAAAGCTGTTATTTTGTTAGCTGTGTTGGTATAAACTTTATGGAGTTTTAATGAGAGTGTTGGGCCACTAGCTATAGCAGGAGCAATGCACCCATTGACCAGCTGCATAGGTACACAAGGGGGATCACCTGGTGGATGACATGGGTTCACCTGACGTGTGGAGTCTAAGTACTAATCGGTGTTCAACAGAGCTCTTGATGGTGAGATGGGTTTTCTGCATTTTAGTACCAAGTAGTAGTCCTCAGGATTGGCCCACCAGAGGTGAGCAAGCTGGGGTCCAGTAGCAGATATGACAAGTAGGGATAAGCAGACGTGCAGTCAGTAAACAAGCCAAAGGTCTGTAATGAGTGGTTTCAGGTTGGGGATCAAGCAGAAGCATAGTCGAGGAACAAGCAAAGGGTTGGTAACAAATAATAGTGAAGATACGAACAGCAGCAGGAAAGACAAGCGCAAGATATTGGCTAGAGAGAGCGCAATAATCTAGCAAACAAGAAGTGCAGAGACATGGCTTAAATCAGGAAGGTCATAAGAGGAGCAAAGAGTTCAAGGTTAACCAAAAAAAAAGGAGAGAGAAGACAAGTCCAAACAATCAGACAGGAAGCTGTCCAGCATCTCAAGTGGCCTAGCAAGAAAAGTTACTGCCAGACATTGCAGAGCTCCCAGGTTCAGATCCAGACCGTGACATAGACTTTGGTTGAACTTAAAACTGAACTCCAGGAAAGGCAGTAAACATTTGCTTTAATCTCCTCCTTGCAGTTATATATTATCATTAGAATTTTCTTTAAATTCTTCTTCTTTTTTCTTTGGTCACATGATATGCTGAAGGCCCCCCCTAAAATCCCTCTGTTTAGATATGTGGAAGGTCTGTTTCTGCTATGTCTTTCTCAAGTGATATAGGTACAAATGAACTACATTTCTCCGAATTCTTGGCCATGATCCCGGACTTCCAGGGGTGTTTATAGTCCCTGTAGAACCTTCCAGGCTTGTCAGTCAGCCTAGTGAGGATTGGATGAGTGTTCTATCAGAGGTGCTCCTGAGGCCACCCATTGAGCGAATTCCTGCCATGAAGGGGCAAACACCAGTCAATCCAGTAACTCTGACCTACTGGGGGAATTTAGATAACCAGTCACTCAGCACAAAGAAAGTACAGTGGTGGCTTAACGCAGGGCTTGAAATTTCCACTCGCCTGCTCGTCAATGGCAAGTGGAAATTATGGTGGGGCCGAGTGTGTCCCCCAGGGCCGTCTTACTGAGCAGGCTCAGAGCTCAGGCCGGATCTGTCATTGGCACTGGGAGCCGTCAGACTGCTCAATAGTTGAGCGCAGTGAAAGAAAAGGAAGGAGTGTGTGCTGTGCTCTGCCTCCCCCTAGAGTGCAGTACCCGGATCTGTGAGTGAACAACGAAGTACTGCAACTTTTTTATGGGGGGGGGTGTATGTGTACATGTATGTGTGTTTTTGTGTGTGTCTGTGTATGCATGTACAATTGTACATGTGTCTGTGTGTATGTACATGTGTCTATCTGTACATGTGTCTGAGTGTATGTACATGTGTCTGTGTGTGTGTACATGTGTCAGTGTGTGTGTGCATGTACATGTGTGCGGGTGTTTGTGTGTATGTACGTACATGTGTCTGCGTATGTATGTACATGTCTGTGTGTATGTACATGTGTCTGTGCATGTGTATTTCTGTGTATGTACATGTATCTCTGTGTATGCGTGTCTGTACGTGCCTGTGTGTGTATACATGTATCTGTATGTGTGTGTGTACATGAGTCTCTGTGCGTGTGTGTACATGTTTCTGTGTGTGTAGGTACATGTCTGTATGTGTGTGTACAGGTGTCTCTGTTTGTGTGTGTTTGTTGGTGGCAAGTAACTCTTAAGGCCTGGCTAGTAGCTCAGGACTTGAAATTTTAAGCCCTGGCTTAACGGACAAGGGGCAAGAAGGTTGTTCTTGAGTTATTCACTTTCAGGTCATTACAGAGGAAAAGGGGCACTTTTTACATCTGGAGGAAAAGAGATTTAACCTTCAAATATAGAAAGGCTTCTTCCAAGTAAGAGTTGTGAAAATGTAGAATAGACTCCCTGAAGAACTACTTCTGGCCAGCTCAGAAGACTATTTTTAAAAAGAGCCAGGGTAGTTGGTCCAGGGATTATCCAACTGCCTCCTGTGGAATCAGGAAGGAATTTTTCCCACCAATGGAGTGAATTAGATCCTACTTTAACAGGGTTTTTTTTGCCTTCCTCTGAATTAACTGTAGGTATAGGATAATGTATATGGGGGGTTCCTATTCAGGTTTTTTTGGGTTAAACTAGATAGACTAGCATCATTTTTCACTGTACTGTATCTATGTTCTGAATTATCTTTTAGAAAAGAGTGCATGTCCAAAACACTTTGAGGTGTATTTATAAAGAATTTGCAGAGCTGTTTGATAGCGAAAGCACATTCACATTCATTTTGTGTGAATTGGGCATTGGTAACATTTATTTGTTAATTTCCTCTAGCATTCTATAGAATGATTACAGTTTGTCTCTTGTTTTAAACACGTACAATACGTATTTCCTATTCTCTTCTGCTCCATCTAGTGGCCATAACATGGCATTTTACTACTGCCTTTATAACACAAACATTTTTTCCAAAGAGATAATAACCTAAAGAACATTTGTTTTTGCCAAGATCACACAGAACAAATGTACATGCAGATTTGCTGGACGATTGGTTGTGCAAGTTTTTTGTAAATGGACCCCTGTGTAATGTAGTGTAATACCACATGTGTTAAAGTGATAGTAAACACCACTGGTTACAAAGAAAAAATGACCATGAACACACCAAAGCAGCTGTAATCAAAGTGCAAATTACACACTCAAACCTAACACCCAAAGAATATTTGACAGCGTTATGTGTAATGCTAAACAAAATGTTGATACTGTGCAAACATCAATAAATTAAAAGTTTCCGCATAAAAAGTAATCTTTTGCCACTGATTTGTCACAGTTATGAATTGTATGACTTCAATAAAGTGTCTGTGCAATTATTCCCATGCAAGTGCTTCTGTGCAATTTTCAAAGACACAACCATGTGTTTTTGTGCTGAAATCCAGTGATCTTCCACCACAGAGATCTCACCAGATGGGTATGACCACCCACTATAGGTAAGTCATAATGCACTTGTTATACTGGATCTTGTTTGCCACCATCCACTGCACACCAGGGTTAAATGCTCCACTTTCCTTTTTCTTCCAGACTTTATAGGCTTGTATTCTCATACCACATAGGAAGGGGATAGAGAAAGACCAACATAGTGTAAAAACTTTAAAAACACTTCTAGGTGTAGTGTGTGGGATGACATCACTTCCTGGCCGGCCTCAATGGGGCATTCCATCACCTTGACGTTCTCAAGATGCCTCTGGTACACCCCGAGAAGGAATAAGAAGGGACTGCTCGGCATACTCAGTATGGAGTAGGTACCAGAAGATTGCACATAATCTATTACCTATGTGCATATACCTGAGAGTTGGGTGTGCAGTAGATGGTGCCAAACAAGATCCAATAAAACAAGCGCATTATGACTTACCTATAGTGGGTGGTTATATCTGTCTGGTGAGTTCTCTATGATTGTGGTGGAAGACCACTGGATTCCAGCACAAAATCACATGGTTGTGTCTTTGAAGATTGCACAGAAGCACTTGCATGGGTATAATTGCATAGACATGTAGCACAATCCCCTTAGGAGTTGCTGAAGATTTGGGTCCCCCTATAGTCCTACACAGCCAGGCAACACACATATGCCACAGACTTGCATTCCAGAGACAGTAGACAGTCCTTGAACTTGTTTTTTTTAAGTTTTATTAGGGGTATTGAACTGATGACAACTTCCTGGCAACTATATACAAGTCTCTATACAGCAAAGTCTCTTCTAGGAGAGCTCTCCAGCCTCTCCTGGTGTACAACCCCAGAACCC